CCAAGATATTTACTTGAATGGCTAATATGGAGCCCTAGGTATGCACCAAATAAAATGTAAGCTTGGGATTTAGCAACAAAAAGATTTAAGTACAAATGGAATGCAATACAATGCAGTACAGAGCAATGAAACAGATGGAAATACAGAAAAATGACATAATTCTTGCAATCTTCCTTTGGGAATTCTGAACGCACCTAGTAGATGCTAATAATAATAAAAATCACCCACATACAATTAAAATACACCATCTACTCTATCTGTTGTTCATGAACAATCCAGGTAAATCTTTTTGAACATTTAAAGAAAAGCATATTTTTCATTCTATCAAAATGTCTTGTACTGTTATCTGTGACAAAGAATCAGGGTCTGTAATATAGACCTACTGTATTGAGAAAGTATTTATTTCTAACATTTATAGGCCATCCAAGTTACCTCAAGGTAACTCCGGTAGCTTATTATCCTGCTTCATCACTATATAACAGTTAAATTTTGCTCTCACCTGATAGAAACTATATATATGATAGAGTGTGGTACATTTTTTCATATGAATTAATATTAGACCTGATTCATTGTTCTCACAATCAATTCTAAGCAGGCTCACACAGAATACAGCCACCTGTAGTATTCTTGTATCATGCTTCTTTATAATTCTAGGTTAGCAAATTTGTCCATTTGTTCCACTCCTCCAGATATACCAAGGACAAAGTAATGAGTCTCTTATTTATTTTAAACTGCACATCATGCAAGACCATTAAGCCAAACAAAAATTTGAAGTTAACAGTATTCCTAGTGATTTCATTTCTCTCAGCCACTAGCTATTCTGGGAAAAGTTCCCATCAAAACATTTGCTTTTATCACGACAACTGTAGCATCAGTTGCCTTCGTAATTTGTGTTTGCTAGGTTTATCTTCTCCACCTGACATTCCTATTGTGTGCCATGTTGTAATTTCAAAATCAGAGAGGATACTTCAAAATTTGCCATCGCTGGATGAGTCAATGCAGAGAAAAACAGAGAGTTGCTTTGAGTTACATTAAAACATTAACTGATTACTTTGGAAGTTGATGCATAATCATTGACTAGCATGTTCAGTGAATGAGAACTATAAGGAACAATAATTGTTATCTGTTTTCACCTTTTATACTGGCATCAATATCACAGCTGATCTCTCAGTACCAACTGTTGTATTGGAATTATGTATTTTCCAGCTTTTTAAGAAGTATATGTTTGTACTAATTCCTAGAGCATGCCAATAGATTCTAGAATAATCATAATTGTAGGGACGTTTTCAATACATTCAGTTTTCTTTCAAAATGGACCTGCTGTGCCAATTTTCCAAACACATATTTTGGTATACATGCTGCACAAACTGTTCTCTACTGGCAAAATTAGTAGAAATGTTATCTCTATTCTTTGACTCTATTTATTTATTTATTTGATTTGCCAATTGTTTACAAGATAATAAGTATAAGCGTATACATAGTTGTGAATACATGAAATGGGTACATATAAGAAAAATAAAAGAATAAGAGAAACAATAGGACAGGGACGGTAGGCACGTTGGTGCGCTTATGCACGCCCCCTACATACATGACTCTGGCCAGTGGATGGCGTATAATGATAAGTAAGCAAACCAATACATGTGCAATCTGCACAAATTTGCAACTGCAAATGCAAGCATACAAGTTCCAGGAGCATTGGAACAGAATGCCACTCAAGCAATGGAAAATTGCATGATAAATGATAAAAATTCATCTATTATTATAGTCACTGTGGTCTATGGTTAAGGTACCATGTTAGAAACCAGGAATCTGTGAGTTCCTCCTTTTCATGCCTTAGGCATGAAAGCCAGCTGTGTGACTTGGGGCCGGTCACTCTTTCTCAGCCCAACCAACCTCACAGGATTGTTGTGGGGAAAACAGGAAGGAGTGTTCACTCCCGTAAATTATTAATAAAATTAATAAAGGTAGGATTTAAAAAAAAATCAATGAAATGTTGATGAATAATATAAACGTAAAATAAAGTCTATTGCTAACATGTCTTTCCTTGTCCACAGCAATGTTTTCTGTAAATTCCATAATATTTTCTGTAAGGATTCTCACCAGTACTTTTGTTGTCATCTGGATTTTTGAAGTCCACATTTAATAGGACTAGGATACCCATGCTATTTGTTAACATTTTCTTATTCCACAGGTAAGCAGCAAGGTTTCCCCCCCCCCTCCATTGGAAAATAAAATATGGCTTCTTTTCAACAAAGGGACCTAAGATAAATGGTTGCCAATCTGCTTCCGGGTCAACGTGTTGGTCATTACCTTTAAAGCCCTCTTGGCATGGGTCCAGTCTACTTGAGGAACTGTCTCACCTCAATGGGACTGGTCCACCCCACAGACACTGGAAGGGAGGCACACTGCAGATCCCATCAATCAAGAAATTTGGGCCGGCGTCTGTTCCAGAAGAGCCTTTTTCTCCTGGGGTTCCTGTTCTCTGGAACATCTTACCCTACTGACTTTTCATAAGACCTTTAAGACATGGCTGTAGCAGATGGCTTGGGGACCCAATGGGAAAGTTTCCTACTGGAGGTGGTTGGTTAATTCAATTCAATTCTCCCTGCCATCCCTGTGTGTTTGGCTTCCTTCTTTGCCATCTTGTTTCCATGATTTTATTTGTTTCATGTTTTTTATCTTTTGTGGTGTTTTTTTTTTTACAACAGATGATTTTAATGTTTTTCAATATTTCTATGGTGTAAGCAACCCAGAATCATTTGCCATGAGATGGGTGCAGGGGTGGGATTCAAATTTTTTAACAACCGGTTCTGTGAGCATGGCTTAGTTGGTGGGCATGATCAACTCAATATCACTCACATTGAGGCACCCATCTCCTCGCCTGGCCTCTCGTGACTGTGGGGATGCTTCAACAGTCGTAAGTGTGAAAAACAGTCATAAGTCACTTTTTTCAGTGCCATTGTAACTTTGAATGGTCACTCCACACAAGCAAAGTACCAGCAAAGGAGGGGGGAAAAACTCCAGAGAAGTTCCTGAGACAGGAAGTCTAGTCCTGCCAAGAATATAATAAGGGTTAATGGAGAGGCAGTTTCTGTAAGCAACACCAGAATGTTTCCTTCCTGCCTTCCTTACAGGATTAGGCCAGTAATTTCTAACAACCAGTTCTTTGAACTGCTTAGAATGTTAACTGGTTCTAGTGAATAGGTGGGAACTGGTAGAATCCCACCCCTGGATGGGTGGCAAATAAATTGTATAAATAAATAAAACCACTATCTTTTGACTATCTTTTGTATCAGGGACAAATTATTGACCCAGAGGAAAAGTTATAGAATTTAAACCCTAGGGACAGACTGACATGCCTCTTTCTTAATTCTGGAGTTCTGCATGTTGTGCTTTAAGTAGAGAGGCTTGTTGAATTAAGATACTGTGTGGCTGTCAATGTCTTTTTTGAATTAATCATTTAATTTAGACTGTACAAAGTACATCTTATGCATCAAACGTCAACATTCAAACGTTAAAAGGGAAAACTGGAAATGCTATTTCAGGAGGAAGTATTTCGTTAGGAAAAGCCTTCTCAAAGTTACAACAGTGCTGAAAAAAGGTGACCTGACCTATGACCAATTTTCAAACTTATGACTGTTGCAGCATTCCCCCTGGTCATGTGATCAAAATTTGGATGCTTGGCAACTGGCTCATATTTATGAAGATTTTCATGTCCCATGGTTTACATGATCATGTTTTGAAACCTTCTGACAAGCAAAGCCAATGAGGAAGCCAGAGTCACTTCAAACCATGTTGCTAAGAGTAGTGATTCACTTAACACATTTTGGGGGGAAAAAGGTCGTAAAATGGGGCAAAAGTCACTGAACAACTGTCCCTCTTAGTAACAGAAATTTGGACTTGTGGTCATAAACTACCAGTCATTATGGAATTTGTCGTAAAAGCTTCAAATGTCCAAGGATACGGTGAAAATTATCAAACCACCTTATTATATCAGAGGCTGAAAATAACAGAGTTTAATGTAGTTTTGCATGATTAACAATAAAGAATTGTGTTACACTTTTAGAAATCAAAGCATAATTTGAGGGAGTTTAGACTTTAAGGATGACTAGTTTACAAGATATTTACTACATTATATAAATTAACTCAAAAATTTCCTTTGATGCAGCCTCTGAAAAATATCTTCATATGTCAATGAACTGCAGAATCCTCACTCCCCATTGCCTATTTTTTCCCTCTAGTTTTAACCCACATCTGCTCAAGGACTGGAGCCTCTGAACTCATGTTTCCTGCTTGACAAGCTGGAAGAAGCTAAGCTAGATGAGAGCCTTTGTCCAACTTTGGATGGTGTTCCAATTGCAGTCATACTTTTTATATGTACTGTAAGACAGAGTTATTTTCTTTGTGGCAAGGTTAGAAGTATTTGTAATAAATACTGTGTGAATTAGGTAAGGTCAAGTTGATGGTACTTTCAAAGCTACAAATTCTCTCATGCCTAATCCCCCTCATTCACCTGTATTATAATTCAGTTGCTGAAACAAAAGTAACTTGCATCTGTTTATATAGAAGTTGTTTTCCATATTTTTATTGTGAGAAATTCAGCTCCTGAAAAGAATCAACAAAAAAATAACTAAAAATCTTGCAGAAAGGAATATTATCTACATTTCGTTGTTCTCAAAGTGCACACTATTTATATAGAGTGAAATCAATCCATGTGATATGTTTGGCTGATGAATCTGTGTTATGCTAACTCAATTCCAATTTTTCTCCCAACAAAATTCTAGGACCACGTGAGTCTCACTTGAATTTTGAATTTAGAGTGAAGTAGGCTATCCACATTCTCCATATTACTAAAATCAGGCAGATTATTTTTTGTACAATTGAGTAAGATTCAGAGTGTTCATTCTTTATTTAAAAAAAAAATAGTTTACAGGGAATAAATGAATCAACATCAGACAATTTTATTTCACACCATGAAACCACACTTCTTTCAATAATAAAATAACATTTTATTTGCAAAATAAAAATAATTACATAGGGATGTAAATAAACTGATAAATCCAAATAATCTATGTAAATCCCAAGAAATATATTCCAACTCAAATACTTGAATATCAAACTGGCTTCCAAAATTATATACCGAAGCTGGAAATTTGGTCAAGCTTAGACATAAAAGTGAAATCTCTTATAATACACTTGAAACTTTTCTCTCTCTTTTTTTTTTTACAAATATACTGAGAACAAAAACAGTAAGAGCTTTAATCTCTGGCCTTAATTTCTCTTAAGAACATGCCTTACATTAAAGGCATAACTTTTGAGGTTAACTTTATTGTGCAAGGCCTATTTCAAAGTTACTTCTTCAGCTCAGACACAAATTTACATTAAAGGTTCCTAGGGATTCAGAATAACCCTCTCAAAATGACAAGACACAGCCAAGCCTTGATTCTTAATGTGGATGTCAAGTTTCACAACAGAGAATACAAGAGGATATTGACACTTCTTCTGTTTCACCAAAATGTAATTTCACAAATAGATTCTATTTATACAGGCACAACAACTTACTGAGCACCAATTCCCAGCTTTTTTTAATGAATACATTAATGCTCAATTATGGCCAAAACAAAAGTATTCTCAAAGTGTAATTACCACAGTAGCAAAGTGATAACATTAGTAGTGAAATGCTTTGAAGACCAGACCACCCAACACTTTTAATGAAACAAAAGTACAATTCTGATTTTTTTAAAAAGTACAAACAACAAAACACCACATTGGTAATGATTTCTTCCAAGTTCACTGCAAATGTCCTTCTCTCTGAATTCGAAGCCGCTCTTTCTCTACTTGCAAGCGTTCTTTTTCAATTTGCAGCTTTTCTGATTCAAACTTCAGGAATTGCAGCCTCTCCTTCTCAAGCTGCAAACGCTCTTTCTCAATTTTCAGTTTTTCTGTTTCTAAATCCAAAGGTTGTAAGACAGGCTTTTCTGCCTGGTTTGGATCATTCTCCAAGATAGGTTTTTCACCATGCTGAGCTTCAAGCCTCAGTTTCTCCCGCTCAATTTGTAACCGCTCTTTTTCCAGCTGAAGCCTCTCATGTTCCAGGTCAATGTGCCTCAACCGCTCTTTTTCAATCTGCAGACGCTCCTTCTCAACTTGTAATCGTTCCGCTTCAATATCCAGGCGTTGTTTTTCCAGCTCTAGCTTCTGCTTCTCTAAGCTAATCAGCAAGTGGGAATCTTCATAAGCCAGCCTAGCTTGAGCAGAACTTAGATTTCCAAATTCTTCAATATGGGTGAAATCAGGAAGATCACTTTCCTTTTTGGAATCTGGTAAAACTGAAGACAAAATCTCCTCTTCTTCCTCAATAGGAAACTAAGGAAATTAATTAGAAATATTAGTGTATGAAGCTAAACAGATATATCTCTCTCACTCTAAATAAAGTAGATCTACAATTCCCCACTTACAGCCACAAATATTTTCTATGTTAACATGGAAGAAGTATTGATATAATCAAGAGCAGAAAGTAGGCATCAAAAGATGTTGCTCTAAAAGTATTAATTACCTGTGCCACATAACACCTTGTAAACAAAAATACATAACCTGTGCAGCTCTGCCTCCTCTGTTAACATCACTACATCACTGTATACACTCTGTAGTCATTTGTTTAGCAGAGGCCAAGCCATAGGCCAAGCCTATCCCGGTCAGAACACACCAAGCAATAAAATTTGATGAATGAAATGTCCTATTAAAAATAAGGTAAATACATTCTGACAGTTCAATCCTAGATATGTCTACCTCAATTAGGCAGCTTTAAGACATTTTCAAAAGAGGACTTTTTATAAAGAGAGTCAAGTGAATTATACATTTATTCAGCAAATATCAATTATTCACTTGGAATGCAGAAAAGTAATAGCTGCTGTAATAAGGAATCCCTCTACTTAAGAGATTTCATAGTTGTTTATACAGATTTGTTGTTGCTCACATAAGGAAAACACATGCTGAAACAGGTACATACTGAGGACCTAATCACTTTCCAATTAATACCAAAAGTTTTGATACAGACCAAACAAATCAAAGGGATAAAATTCAAACAGCTTATAAGGCAACAGAGTCAAAGTATCTGTGAAATTGGCAATTTGTACCACCGACAAACTCACCATTAACGTTATGAAAAGCTGGATCACACACTGAAAGAATGTTGAAAAATCACACTAGAAAACATTGTAATAAACAAAGAAAAAAACGTGCTAAGTTTTCAGAAAACATGGTCATCCAATGAACACACATTCTAGATGAGGGGTGTCAAACTGGCAGCCCACTGGCTGGATGTGTCATATGCTGGCCACCCCCACCCCAGTTTAGCGAAGGGGGAAAAAGTCGTGATACATCACATGACAATGCAGGTTTGACACCCCTGTTCTAGATCATGATAGATCTCCTGCAAATAAAGCAGCTGATTGATTCACAAAAGAAATATCCAAAAAATTGTCAGCTCAGCATCTTATGATGAAAATACTCTAATGAGTTTAGGGGCAGAGAGGATTAAGATAAATTCAGGTTAATTTGGCTTCTTCCTCGAAAATTTTATTATAATAAATACAAAGATTTAGCAGTACTATTAAAAGTTTAAGATAGTTCACATGTTTATGCATGTATAATTAGAGCACATCCTCCATTTTTCAATTCTGTTTGCAATAGTATTAACAATCTATTATGTAAAACAAGCAATTTTAAAACTTAAAAACATATGTGGAAGACATATTGTTTGCTTGTATAGTAGCATTTTTCCTCCTAAATGCTTTTCACACTAGGACAGGATCTTCTTCCTTTCTTTCCTATATCAACTGAGTGATCCATTGGTTCTGATAGGAATTAATCGACTGATTTGTCACCCAAGCCAGACATCTTGGCTGAGAGTGTATGATTGATCCAATCACCCAGCCAGCTTTCAAGCCTAAAGCAGAACTAGAACTCAGTCTCCTGGTTTTTAGCCTGGGGTCTTGTCACTCGATCAAAATGGCTCTTGTTCGGACAACAGCATATTGACTCACTGGGAGGGGTGGCTGTTTGCATTAAAAAAAAAAAAGAATTAGTGAGGCTTATGGTCAAATAAGATAAGTAATTGGACTTACAGTAGCTTCTTTTAGTTAAAAAATGCACTCCAGATGTTTTATTTTGCTTTTAGTCAAATATTCATGAGCTAAGGATTTGATGAATTTGTGAACATAAAAGGTCCATAATCGTATAATAAATATTAATATCTTTTTATACATCCTGTCAAACTTTACACAAACAAAATAATTAATATAGTTTTGCTTTAAACAAACCAGATAAATTGTACTTATAGGGGATATAAAAAGTCTACATACTAGTTAAAATGCCAGGTTTTTAAGATGTACTATAGAAGAATTACTTACTTCAAAACTTTGTGGATCTTCCTCCTCTTCTTCTACTTTTACTTCAGTTAATGATCCCCCTGCTTCTCTGAAGTCTGTGATATTTTGCCATTCAAAATTAGATTCATTTGGAAAACCTATTTTCTCATCAATATCTTCATTGAGAGAATCATCCAGATCAGATGAAGGAAGATGAAAGCCAGCTCCAACCAACTTTATGTTAGTATTTAGTCGCTTTCGTTTCATAAGGGCCCTCCAGTCAAGGTATCGCCTTTTGACTTCTGTCCCAGTCCTTTGTTCTCCTTCACCTACAGCATTCACACATTCTGCAATTTCTTCCCAAGCCTTCCGCTTCATCTCGTTAATAGTTGTATTTAGCTGTTTGGAAAAAAGCACCTCTCTTCTTTTTCGGATTTCTTTAAGTAAAGTTTGGGTCTCCTGAACACTGAAATTGCTTTTCCTTTTCCTTTTCAGTTGTTTCATCTTTTCCAGCTTTCAACGTATTTCTTTCTGTAGTAAAGGGATTAATACTTAATCATCCTGGAATTCTATAAGCATACTATAAAAACAATTTTTTCGTTCAACTTTTAGATTTCTCCCTTTAAATTTGAGTAGCAGGAATCAATTTAAATGTTGAACTACACAGGTAATACATTTAATCAAAATAACTTTGATTCAAAAATCAAAATCATTAAATAATTGTTAGGAATTAAGAGAGATCTTAATTTATTGGAAAAATGTATTTTAAAAAGAGTATATAATGCCAATAATTAATTTTATATGGCATACTTTCCCTGAAAGACCAAAACAAAAACATTTTTAGAAGTATGAAGCATTCATTAGCAAACTTCAGAACAAAAATATTTTCTGCAACATCAGATGCTTCCTTAAAACTTTACTGGCAAACATAAGAATTGAAAGTTCTAATTTTGTAGTTTAATATTGATAATTTTTAATAACCAAACAACATATTACTATTTCCAGAACAGCTTCAATAAAACTGAATTCACAAAATTCTGGAAATGATCTGACTACCTGATTTTAAACATAATTTGTTCATTAATTTATGAAGGCAAATTTATTGGAAAAAATAATTTATTGCTTATTGTATATGTTAATATGACTTCAATAATGTAGCTTTTCAGAATCTCTTAAGCAAACATAGAATACTATAACCATAAGATATCAAATCCATGTTAGGAAGAACTTCAATCAGCAAATAAGTCCAATTATACTTTTGAAGTAACAATAGTATTTTTCTGTTCTGAAAAGAAACAACTTTTTTAAATCAGGGGCAATCAACCTTTTCAATCCATAGACAAATTTATTTAATTTTCTGGGCCACTAAAAATGCTGTTGGGCCCTGCTTTGGATTTGAGACTGTTTTCCAATATATAAGAATACCAAGGCGGAATAAGCTATCTTGATTTTTTTTTTCTTACAAAACATCTTACAAAAAGCTTCATTGGGTTTCATTATTTAGTTCTGATAAATTTTAGCATCATAGCCTTAAGACTACAATAAATGGACCTGAAAGATCACTTTTCAGGTTTTACACCACGCTTGGCAATACACTTCAACTCTCTTGCCATTTAACCACCTTATTTAGAAATCAGTTTACTTGGTGGAAGAGTCTCAGATACAGCTTGGGTAGCACCGTCTCTTTATTGTAAACCAGAATGAAGCCATATGCTCTCAGCATGCAGAAAACATAACCTATTTATAGAACTGTGCTCTGGGGTTTAAACACTACACTTTTGCCTTATCATTCCAAGATAGTAGATATTTAGCTATTATTTCAATAGTTTTGACAAGCACTTGTTTTATGTTAGCATATTATCCCTCGTCTTGACACTGTGAGTTCTTCCGTTAGCAGCTTCTTTTTTAAAAACTAAGACCGCACGTTTTAAATATAACATAATGTTTGAAAATTTAAATTTTCTTAGCAAAAGAACAAAAATATAGTAATAGATTGGGTGGTATAAGAACAAGTTACACGTTTCAGGATTGAACACAAATGCGTAAGCAAAGCAGAAAAAAAAAGCACAAATGGGCACTACTTCTAACTATGCAAACTAGAACAGTTTTTTTTTAAAGAAAACATGTAAATCAGAGTTTAAAACCTGCAGTTTTCTTACATATAACAATGCTGCTATGTCCTTTGATTTAGATTGTTTGAAAAAAGGGATTATGAACATTTTTAATATGTAAGTTTAATATGGATAATGGAAAGAAAACAATTGTTTTCATTCTGGGCTTCTGAGAAGCATTATAATGAACATTACTCAGGAAAAGGTCATCATTGGAAACTTTTTGATTCTCCAAATGTTACATTGGGTAGAGGATGAATTAGCACAAAGGGAGCAAGCCATATTATACACATGGGATTTCTCTTTTCTTCTAAATTTGCTAAAGTACTTTTGTCTAAAATGGAAGAAAACCATCTTGTCAATTTTTAGCGTCTGCCAAATGACTTCTGGTTC